ATCACGCGAAGCGTGAGCTCTCAATGCTCTGCTATGTGCTGTCAATGAGGTGTCGCTCAGATTCGGGAGAAAAGTTAAAAAATACACCTGAACATATCTCTCCTACCTTCGGCTGGGTTAGTCACGTAGTGCTTGAAGCTTCATTACGAATCAGACGAACGGAAACAAACACAATTTGGAAATAGAGGCAGCTAAAGGATGCGCGTTTACGACGGCGCAGAGATACAACTATTCGTACTTGATGGACGTCCGAGCTTCATCTAAAAAATTGAAGGCGCGATAACGCGAAGCGTGAGTTCTCAATCCTCTGCTATGTGCTGTCAATGAGGTGTCGCTCAGATTCGGGAGAAAAGTTAAGAAACACACCCGAACACATCTCTCCTACCTTTAGCTGTGTTGATACTAGTTCTTTCTTCGTTGTTCAGGTTTTTGTCTGATTCTTTTTAGGATGGAGAAATTAAAAAATGAACCCCGTTAAATATTTTCCCTATGTTCCAAAATTGTACAATGTTAGCATACGTAACGCCGATAATGAAAGCAAAACCACTCCCGCGTAACGCAGATCTACATCCTCCCTAAAAATACGCAACGCTTTCCTTGGTAACCCCTCTCCCGAAAAAAAACCAAGGAAAATCATTGATGAACCACAGTTATCTCCTTACTCCTTTCTTCTTTGTGAAAAAAACGAGAATGCGATAATGCAAAAAAAAAAATTAAAGAAAAATAAACGATTAGAATAATTTTTATTTGTGAAATTCCAACAAATTGAGAATAAAACAACGATTAATTCAATGTAAAAGTATATAAAATAGTTATTTTTATACCGGAACTTACAATAGATAATAGGTTATGTAGCGTAGTCCTGGACCTCTCACCCTGTAACGCAGTCCGCAGCGTAACGTAGGCTTAGGCTCCTTCATTCCATAAAAGCGTTACGTATTTAATGAGCAACCTCTTAGAATCACGGAGTATGTAAGCTCATAATTTTTTAATTAACTTGTCTCAATATTTTGAAATGAGGGCGGGCTGCTGTGAGTGATGGTGGAAATGGAGCAAGGCCTAACCTCGGTATTGTATTATAGTGGCGTTGGCTGCAGTGAGCTCAACGCGACAGCAACCACCTAAACTCCGAGTGGAAAACGAGGGGGTCGAGTTCATAAATACTGCAGGGGCTCCAACCTCCACCCCCATCCCCATCCTCACCCCCATAAACCACGCCATTCGGCTCTGTACAGATGCCCGGCACGGCCCCCATGGAAGTCAGCCTCGCATTGAGCGCCAGTTGCAGCACTCCCGTGGTAAAGAAAAACGTCGTATATGAGCCCGCGAACTTTGCCAAATCCACCCCAACGAATTACGAATTTTCTGGAAAATTCGGAAAGCTCTTTCTTCGAAATTTTCAGGAATGTAGATAATGCTCGATCGCACGACCCTAATATTGCAGAAAACATGAGGGAATTTTAATGAAATTATTGATTTTTTTTTCGAGCAAGTGGGGCAAATCGGGAATTTTACCGGGAAATCGGTAATTTTGTCATTGAATCGGACACTCTTACGTAGGGCAAATCGTTCAAAAAGAGGAAGCAAGATAAAATCTAGTATTTAAATAATGTATGAAAATGTGAAACCAATTACCTTAAAAATTACGGAATGTAATTCCGCAAAGCTCCGTATCATACGATCAAAAGCAGAGGTCTCTAAGCGGCGTCACGGAGGGGTCACGTGATACCACTTTAGGGAGCTTTACTATGATCGTATGATACGGGCTTAAGGCATGATATAGTCGGCGTTTTGGAACTTTTTTTGTCTCAATTCGGGTCTGATACTGGCCTGAACTTGAGTCTGAAGGCTGATCTTGGTAGAAAATGCGAGTTTTTGGGTTGAAAGCCGAAAAAACTGCATTTCACGCCAAAATTGGCTTTCAGACCCGTGTTTAGGCTAGTATTACACCTTGAAAGAGGCCGGATTCGATCATATTGAGATGCATTCCGTAAAACATAGACATTAAAAGAGCAAACATTCTTGAAGTCGAGGAAATTCAGGGTAGGCCCAAAAATGGCCCTCATCGATACCCCACCTTCAAATTCACCTTTCCTGTGCGGTAAAGAATGACCTAGGTTCTATGTTACCGCGAAGCTGCCGCCTTATACTGCCGTTCTAAGGAAGAATGCCGTATGAACATTCGAGAGTTGCCAAATTTCCCTCGATAAAATGTTTATTTTTGAGAAAAGTTATGAATATTTTTCCTTAAAATTTTCAGGAACTTTAGATGGAATTACAAACAAAATTATCTGTAAAATTGGGAGAAAAATATTCATAAGTTTACTAGGAGATTTTTGTTGCATCAAAGGAAATTTGGCAACGCCTGAAGGTTCATAGGCGTTTTTCCTTAGTACGGCAGTATAACACGTACCCAAGATTGGACCGCGTGGCAGCCAGGGAGGGACCCCAAAAAGTACACACCACCCAGCAGAATTTTTCCGCGTAACTCTGCACGTGGCCTGTAAACGCCCGCGCCCCCACAGCCCCCCCTCTTCCCCCACCCCGTATCCATGCAGCTCCGCCCGGGAAGAAAAGCGAGGCTGAGGCTGAGAGTCCTCAAGTTTGTCGCACTGCCAACCTAATCAATATTCATTTGGCGATTCTTTTGATTCTTTCGAGCACCTAATAACAATTAGCTCGCTCGATTTACGGCCTCGTTGGCACCACTGCAGTTGACGTCGCGGACCCCGACCCCGTCCCCCCTCTCCCCACCGTCGCTTGATTTAATTGTTGCACTTGCTGCAACTTTTTCGGCTTCGCCCGTCCCAGTTGCCGCGTTTCCACCGAAATTTGGACTTAATTTGCAACTGGGAACTACAATATCGGACTCAATTGTAAAATCACTTATACGCATAGGGGAACTACTGGCGCATATGTTGCTCCTGATGAGGTGAGCTACATTTAATAGTTCTAATCGCAAAATGTAGTCCAATTCTACCAGAATGTGTTTTTAAGGAAACTCAACGGTGAAAATTTCAAAGCACGTATCTCGAGTTTCGACGTTGCAGGCTCCCTGTCATTTTATTATTTTTTAAGTGCGGTAAACTTCTCAACGCCATTTCTAAAAAACTGCCGTGATTTCTTTTTTTGTGTGGAGAAAATTCTGTGAGAACTTCAAGGGATGATGTTGATTTTTTTCTCCTTTTATATAAATGAATACGGATATATGAAGTAGAACGATTCCTTTGCCATTTGGGGAAAAATTACTATCGTAACACCTAAAAGCTCCGAGGATGGCAACGTGCTCCTTTATTAACCCTATACATCTATGAATGTTGTAGAGTGCATTATTTTAATGAGGTTGCGGTTCTTTTCCATTACGGCTTCTTTGTAAGTTTTTGAAGTTGAAAATTAAATTTAGAGACGGCCACGAGTACTATTGCGTTTTTCGCAATTTTTTACTCACAGATCAAAAAACTCCTGTCCAAGCAAGGAATCTAGTATCTTGAGTCCGTTTGAATTGTTTTGTTTAAAATACAGGGTGTTTCAGGAAAAACTCGTCATTTTGAATACCTCGAGAACGCTTCGAAACGCGTCGATGGCCAAAGTCGAAACCACGTATCTCAGTTTGCAACGTTGTAGACTTCCTGTTATACTTTATTTTTTCCCTGTAAAACTAGTCAACTCAATTTCTTGAAAGGCAGAATATTCTATTTATGCATTTCAAGCTACAGTGTTGGCTTTGCTCTTCGAAAAAATAAAATAGGAGCAAACATTTTGAAACACCGCAATGGAGGTAGGTGGTCCCGCACTTGAACCAGCGACGTGCTCCCTTATTTAAAGGGGACATCTTTCAAGCCTGTTTTCACTTCAGTAACCTCCAGGAGGCAGCACTAGGGGGGTGCTCGTAACTCAAAACATTGCTTTGAAATGGCTCGTTTTTTTTCTAAAGTACCCTGTATCAGTCGTTCGATCTGGCACTAGTGAACATCTTCCGACTTTTTCTGCCTCCATCTTGTCTTCATTGCAGTTATATACAGCCCCGGTCTTTTTTTTTTCTTCCGGGTCGTAGTTTGTCACCCTCCAACTTACAAGTTAACATGTCGACGGAATTGCCTCTGCGCTGAGTCTTAAATTCTCTGCACGCCGCGTCATGGAACAAGCCTTATTACTCAGATTCGCGCTTCTGGAATCGTGCAAGATTTAGGCGCAGTTGTTTCCGTTCGCCGGCATGTGACTAGAACTTGTTGGCACCTCCTCCGGCGAAGCTTCTTTAAAATAAATAGAGCTCTATTCTACGAATTTTTAAGTGGATATCACTAGAGTCAAAGGCACACTGAAAAAAAAATCTCGGTTTATTTACTAAGAAAAGGGTAAAATTACCAAGAATTCAGGGTTCCATTTGATCCCAGTTTTTTCTTGGTAAAATTACCATTTATGGAATTGGTAATTTTACCGAGAATCTCGGTAAAATTAATGAACTTTCTCGGTAATTTTACTGGACCTCGGTAAAATCGCCAATATTTTTTATCGACTGTAGTAAAATTACCGAGATGAAATGGCAAAGTTACCGGGAATTGATTACCAATAAAAGTGGTATCTTACCTGAAAAAAAAAACAGTAAAAATACCGGTTTTAGGTAAGCTTATCAGTTTGTCTTGGTAAAATTACCAATAATTGGTAAAAAAAGTGAGATGGTAAAGGTACCAACGGACCTTGGTAAAAACGCCGAGAATTTTTTTTTCAGTGCAGTGCTCCCATTTCCCGGAACTAGTTCTGAATTTCGGAACTTCTGAGATTTTCTTGGATTTCCGGAAATGTTGAAATTCTCGAAAGGTTTCGGATCTTTGGCATTTTTTGGAACTTTTGAAAAAATCTTAAAAGAATTCCGGAACTTTTGACGGCCATAGAATGGGAGCACTACTGGTTAAATATAGTTAATTTATCCCATTTGTATTCTACATTTCATCAGGCTTTTGTATAGTACTAATTTATTCGTATTTCTTTTATTTGTGCAGGAAACGGAAGCATGTCCGAAACGGCAGGAGGCTGAATCATCGATGGACGAAACCAGCTGAAAACTCCTGAATCAATCCCCATTTTTGCCCGGTTTTAGTTCGGCTGAAACCCAGCAGAGGTAAGCACTTACGTTGTACCTTGCCGCTAATTATCACTTCTCATGACGATTCTGAACCGACGCACAGTGGATCGAGTCAATTGGAGAGATCGGACATGAAATTTTTGACGAAATCTGCAAATTTTGATGTTTATTTCGTTACATTTTCAATTTCAAGGGTGCTCTCAGAACAAATTCTACGAGAAAACTAATGAAACCACTTTTGGAACCTTAAAATTTTGCAAAAACGAAGTTGTATAAGCTTTTAAAGTTTCCAAATTTTGTCCGACCTCTCCTATTCACCAGATCCACAGTGCGGCGTCCGGATGATGTCCAAATTTTCATAAATGAATTTTTGTTGTAACGAAGGAAAGATTTAGCGTCTTTTGAAGCGAGCGTAATTTTTCAGGTTGAGCTGAACGAGGAATTTTTTGTGGAGATGGGTACCTTATAAAACGTAGTTTCCTGTACGAAAAAACCGTAGCTCTGTTCCAAGGTTGCAACATTGACTTTAACAATTTGATTTTTTACAAGAATGTACCCGGAAAGTTTTTGTCAAACTTCGTCTGATTTTTTTCACGAGGTCAGAAGATAAATAGGTGGAATTCTCGATTAGAAATGTCCAAGATTTCCCTCGTAAAAATGCAATATGTGAATGGGAAATTCGGCATCATTGAAGTATGGTTACATGGTACATTGAAGTATGGTTCTTCATAAAAGGAATAAAAACGGAAGGATAGGTGTGAAATTCGCAGAAAAATCATTTCAGAGGGAGTCCGCGGGCACTCTCTCAGCTCCAAGGGGAGTTTAGAGGTGGGGTCTCCTCGGAAAAACTTTGAATCTTGAGACATCCCTGGAGAAATTTCAGCTATTCTGATCGAAAAATACCAATGACATTAAAGTTCAAAGATGAAAGAAATGTCTAGCATTTATTTCGCTAAATCTTCACACGATCCAATCCAAGAATAATTGAGGGGCTCGGAAGACAAGCCGCATGAGTGCGCAGTTTTTGCTACTTCAAGAAATACGTGTTTGAAGTTTCGAAATTACATGGATCTAAAATGAATCATGAATCATGAATCATGGTGGAAAGAAAGTTCAAACTGACTTTTTGATGCTTAAAAGTTGAAATTTGGAAGCGAAATTTTCACAGAATATGCATTTTCACTTAAAATCAGTAATATCTAAATTTGTTCAAAAACTGCTCTTATGCGCCTTGTCCTCCAAGCCCCTCAATTGGACCGCGTTAAACAGAAAGGAACCAAGCCACACCGGGATCGAACGGAGAAAAAGAGGTTTAAAGTTTTGCTCCTGCATAAGACTCCGTGTTAAAGATGAACTTCAAGTCCAATTTCTGCAAAATTTGCTCCAACAAAAACTCAGATTTTTTGGCGATAGGTAGTAGGGCAGTGGTTGAGTTCAAAACCACTCATAACTCAATTTTTTCCAAAATGTGGGTTGGTTCCTTTCTGCTTAACTCAGTCCAATTATGATGACCATCCTCTCGTAAAATACAGTCGGACTGTTTCTGATTAAATCCTTTCAGTTGCCGTGAAAAATCCCCTTACGAAAGCGTTTATACTCTTCTCACATCCACTATTATCTGCAATCTGCTAGTATTCAACCGTCGTCGGAAAATTTGCCGAAAGGAATATTTGATTAATGTGTAAATTATCCTTGAGTCTTCCGCCTTTCTTCAGCCTGGTTCTTTTCGGGGCCAAGGAATATAGACACTCCGTGATCATGGCATTCATGGCAGTTGCATTTCCTTGCCTTCGGGGGGTTTTTTCCGCGTTTCCTCTCACCTCCCCCACCCTTATACTCCCACCCCCCATGTGCAACCGACGCCGCTGGCGGTGCAGCGATGCAGGCCTTTGTCGAGCTGGGTGTCTGAGCGAGTGTAAGTATATGGGATTGATCCCGCTGCGCGCAACGTCGCACAGTGGAATTGGAGAACGGGAGGGTTCGAGCATCATTTGAACCGCCTTGAAAAGAAAGGAACCAAGCCACATCAGCTATTGCCATATGCAATCTGGCAATTCTATTTTTTTACATGAAAACAGTTGTGCGGATTTTCGTGCAAATTCTCCATGTTACGAAGCAAATTCCTTACAAATTTCAAAGGAATCCAAACAAACGTTCTCTCGTAAAAAATTGAATTGCCCAGTTAAATTTGGCAATATCTGATGTGGCTTGGTCTCTTTCTGTTAAAGTTGGTCCATTTGAAAACGTTAAAAGCGCATATCTTCGATAACGCGTTCACTGCCAAATTTTTCAGGGGACCTCAACAAATTCTCCAAAAGCTCATTCTTACTAAGCTATTTTTTTTTTTTTAAATGGTTGATCAGTCCTCTCCGATCAAAATTGGACCAAGGCATGGACCAGCACATTGCAATGAACAAAGGCCGTCAATGAAATATTATGACTCCGTATAATATACAGGGTGTTTCAGACCACCCGTACCAGGCCTTTTTCTCGGTTGGTTTAGGTCGTACGAAGTCGGAAACCGCGGGGTTGAATAGGGAATCGACCCCAAGGAATCCGAATTTTGTGGTCCCGAAACCCCCCCACCCCCCTTGGGGGGTAAAGGGGGGGTCACGATGCTAAAAGTCATGGTTTCCGACCGAATTGCGGATGGATCGCATCAGAATTGAAAAGCACGGAAAATTTCACGTGGAATTGACCCCTAAAAATCCAAAACCGGACCATCCAAGGCCAAAAAATGACCCCCTAAAGAGGGGTACAGTACCCCCCTCCATAATTTCTCTTTGGTCTCAAAATTGACGTAAATTCTCCCGAAAAAGACGGATTCCCAGGTAATCGACCTCGAGAAATCCAAATTTCATGGTCCCGAAGCTCCTCTAGCCCCCCTTGAGGGGTAAACGGGGGGCCCAATTTTAAAAATCGGGGCTCCTTTCCGAATCGCAAATTGATTGCATCCAAATTGAGGAGCAGAACATATTTACATCTTAAGTGACTCCTAAGAGTTCTAGTAGACCCCCTGAATGGCAGAAAGTAACTCCCTGAGTAGGGAGGCTTCGCCCCCGCCAAAAATTTCTCAAGATTCCTCTTTGGTCGCAAAATTGACGTCGATTCTCCAGAAAAAGACGGTTTCCCATGTAATCGACCCCGAAGAGCTCAGGGAACATGAAATTTAGAGTCCTCGGGGTCGATTACATAGAAAACCGTCTTTTTTTGGAGAATCGACGTCAATTTTGCGACCAAAGAGGAATCTTGAGAAATTTTTGGCGGGGGCGAAGCCCCCCTACTCAGGGAGTTACTTTCTGCCATTCAGAGGGTCTACTAGAACTCTTAGGAGTCACTTAAGATGTAAATGTGTTCTGCTCCTCAATTTGGATGCAATCAATTTGCGATTCGGAAAGGAGCCCCGATTTTATAAATTGGGCCCCCCGTTTACCCCCCAAGGGGGGCTAGAGGAGCTTTGGGACCATGAAATTTGGATTTCTCGGGGTCGATTACCTGGGAATCCGTCTTTTTCTGGAGAATCTACGTCAATTTTGAGACCAAAGAGAAATTATGAAGGGGGGCACTGTCCCCCTCTTTAGGGGATCATTTTTGGGTCTTAGATGGGCCGATTTTGGATTTTTAGGGGTCAATTCCACGTGAAATTTTCCGTGCTTTTCAGTTCTGATGCGATCTATCCGCAATTCGGTCGGGAACCGTGACTTTTAGCATCGTGACCCCCCTTTACCCCCCAAGGGGGGGTGGGGGGGGTTTCGGGACCACGAAATTCGGATTCCTTGGGGTCAATTCCCTATTCAACCCCGCGGTTTCCGACTTCGTACGACCTAAACCAACCGAGAAAAAGGCCTGGTACGGGTGGTCTGAAACACCCTGTATGTAGGAGGTGGGGTTGGGGTTTCGGAATTTTATAAAAATCCAATTTTTGCAACGGCTAAAATTGTATGTATATTTCAAACTTCAAGACTAATCTTTTTAGAGAGAGGGGGGCCCAGGGGATAAACCTCCCCCTCATCTATGTATCACTTGGTTATTAGAGTTCATAGACTGGCTTTGTCGACTGAAATCTTGAAGTAATAGTAGTCAATTTCCAAATTGTAAGAATGAAGGTGCTGCTCATGACGAAGGCCAACATTACCTACCAATTTCTTCAGAACAATCTGGAGTACCGATTTTTGAAATCGCCGACGCATAAATGTTTTCTTGTTTGCAAGATATTTTCAGTGAAAAATGAACCCCGTGTTATTTTCCATGAGGGCCCCAGCAAGCGAGTACCAGGCAAAGTGGCCAATCTGAGACGACTCGTGAAAGTAGGGGGTGCTACTCGGCCCACTATTTGGACCACGTTAAGCAGAAAGGAACCAATCCACATCAGCTATTGCCAAATTTCAATGAACAATTTAATTTTTTACATGAAAACGGTTTTGCGAATTTTTGTGCAAATTTTAGTGAATTTTCCGCGCAGTACGAAGCAAATCCCTTAACATATGCAAAGGAATCCTCACAGCCGTTCTCTTGTAAACAATGAAATTTCCCGGTCAAATTTGGCAATAGCTGATGTGGCTTGGTTCCTTTCTGCCAAACGCGGTCTATTTAAATTGGACTGAGTTAAGCAGAAAGGAACCAACCCAAATTTTGGAAAAAAATTGAGTTATGAGTCGTTTTGAACTCAACCACTGCTCTACTTTCTATCGCCAAAAATTCAAAGTTTTTGTTGGAGCAACTTTTGCAGAAATTGAACTTGAAGTTCATCTTATACATTGAGTCTTATGCAGGAGCCAAACTTTAAACCTCTCTTTCTCGGTTCGACCCCGATGTGGCTTGGTTCCTTTCTGTCTAACTTCATTCAATTGCGGCTCTTGTTTTCTCTTCGCAAAAACATCGAAATTCGTAGTTTTTGTCCAACGGCCATCTTCCAAAGGCTCGTTCCGTCGCGCATTGTGCGCCGCGCGTTGCCATCGTGGCTGTCACCCGTCATTCGCGGGCTCATCAATCAACCCCCCTCCGGCTCCGACCCGGTGAACTTTTGCAAATGTTTG